CTAATGCTGTTCTGTGTGACCCTAATTAATTCTGTTGATTAGATGACATGCAGTACTACACCAGCACATCTGCTTGGCATCCTGGACCCGAGCTGACCTCTTTGAACAGCCTTGGGACATGGCTCAGGGTCTGCACACAGAGCCATTGAGCAATGTGAACTGCAGGTTGAAAATAAGAACTTGTTCCAAGAACCTCAGGCCCATACAAGAAGAAGGAGATGCAAATTAGAGAGCACAGAGCTGGTAAGCAGAAATATTCAGCCTCACTACATTGTATGTGTTAACACAATTGCCCCACTCCCCTTCTAAATCACATACAGTTTATAACTCATTGGTTTGACTTTTTTTATTATTTTCTCCTTTGAATGTTCACTGCAGTAGCTACAACGTGAGTTGTTGTTTTCCTAAGTATTCAGTATAACACTCAACATGCCACCAAATGCATAGATATATTGGGTATGTTTTCTCTCCCTCCAGGCTGGAGGACTGAGCTGCGCTATAATAACAGTTGCATCTGCAGCAGTCTTTCTCTGCCTTATTGTAAGCTCTTTCAGAATTATCTAGGCTCTTGACAGACAGCTTCTCCATGGCTGTGCGTGATATCTGAAGTCCCTAGGATATCAATCAACACAAATAAGAAGAGGATTTCATGCCTACAGTGGAAAATATCAAGGAGCACCTCTCTGCCTGGAGCACCTGGCAATCTGCAGACACTGTAGACTCAGGCCACTTCAGGAGTAGAACCCATTTTATCTAATTTTAGAGGTTAAAGACAGCAAATGAGCCGATTGCTGGTTCTTCAATTCTTTACTTTAGTCAGTAATGAGGAGAACATGCAGAAAGTGATCTGTCCTAAACCACAGAACAAGGTATGTAAGAGGTACGGAAAAGCTTCTTGTTGTTTTCTTGCTGTCTGCAGAGGGAAGGTGGATAACAAGGTTTAATAGAAAGCTATTAAAAGCCAAGATGGAGTTGGACCTGAATGTGCAGGCTCACCCATCTTCCCAGCAGAACCAGCCTTAGGAGGGAGCTGTGTTCAGGCTTTTTCTTGGAGGAGGTGTTGGATCAGCCACAAACAGGGCCAGAGAGGCAGCAAGGGCAGCCCAGTGCTCCCAGTCACCCCCTGGTCCTCTCTTGTCTGACAGAGGGGATGTGTTTGCTGAGAGAACTTCCAGCGATGGATTGCTCTGTTAGTGATGAAAATTAATGGGAATTCTGTCCTTTACAGCAGGCATTTTTACCTGTTGTTTGTATGTGTGTGTGTTCTTGCTTTGAACATGCAGTGGGTGGCAGGTATGGATGTGGTGCAGGCTTGACGGGCAGCTGAACAGCAACAAGAGCTGAAAAAGTACACTGATGCAGAAAATCCTGTCATACTGAGTGCATCCGTCACGATGAAGTGATACGGATTTATATGGGGGAAGACGAAAGGATTGTCACAGCATAAAATGTATTGAAACTCCAAGAATGACTCAGATTGCTTGAGTCAGGGGGGATCTGGTACTGCAAGACTTTGACTTATGCAGGAAAAATCACATTATTCAGTCTGTGGCTTTTTGCATCTAATCACAGTATTGATACTCCATTGCAGTTCGTTCCTCCTTTGATTTATATGTTCCTCTGGAGAGCTCGACTCACTTAATTGCCTGACCCACAAGACACTTAACTAGTTTCTTTTTTTTTCCCTGATCTGACTCATGAATTTTATTTTTCAGCTCGTATCCATTTCACTTTTTCTTCACCTTGGGACTGGGCAAGAACTTTTCTCTACTGGACTGCAAAACACCTACGTCATAGAGTCTATATAGCCTTGGTGTATATCACACAGATACACAGCATGCTCTTAAGGTTAGAGGCAGTGGCCTCAAGTTGCACCAGGGGAGGTTCAGGTTGAGTATTAGGAAAAAGAGCAGTGATGCTGTGGCACTGCTGCCCAGGGAGGTGGGGGGTCACCATCCCTGGAGGTGTTTGAGAACTGTGGAGATGTGGCACTGAGGGACGTGGTTATGGGCATGGTGGGATGGGCTGGGATTGGACTTGGTGACCTTGGGAGTCTTTTCCAACCTTAATGATTCTATGACAGAAGAGTCTTGTCACACTGAAAGAAACACAGTGCAGTGATGCATTGTATAACTGAAGAGAGTAAAAAGTATGGCATTTCTTGTAGGAGAACTGAATCTATCAATGAATATGGTCAGTGGGACACATGGAACTTATATAACACTTATCATATATAAAGGAAACCATAAATAAATATTAAGAGAATCCCTTAGCTGAACTTCCCTTTGTTTTAGGTTTTGTGCAGAGGTGCACTTGCTAGAAGAATTATAAATTTTGTGCTAAAAGTCTTGCTCCTATTGGAAAACTATGTACACCTTCCTTTTCCTTCCTGAAATGCAGTGGTGTGTTATTTTATACTCTAACAAGCAAGGAGCTCAGAGCTTCTTACGTGATAATAATGCAACTTACATTGACTGGGAATGAAACCGCCTTTTTCCTTGTCTGTTTTTAGACAGGACATGTTTAAACTATCTGTGCATGTAAAATTTTCTTGACTCCAGAAAAATTATGATTCTGCTCATTAGGGTAATTAGGATACTATTTTGCTCGTTAGGGTAGCTGTCAAAAACACTTGTTGAGAGTTTATGTTCCCTTCCTCAGCAGCTGTTTGGATCCCTTTGCAATGCAGGTTAAGGTTATTGTGATCACCTGCCTTCGTGTCACATTGAGAATCAATATTATTTGACTTGGAATTAATGAAACCATTTCTATGAAGAAGGATGTGCATAATTTGGAACATTAATGTGCTGGCAGATGATGTTCTCTTCCTGCTCGTTTCTCCATTATACTATCCCCAGGAGCCAAATCTTGGCTCAGCTAAATGCAGCGAGGGATGGCTCTGTTCTTCTGAATGTCTCCTGTTACAAGGTTAGAGACAGAGAGAAAGCTCTAGACACAACAGTGATGAAAAAGATACATGCCAGAGGGATGTTTTACCATAGTTTTCAAATAATCTAACAGGCCTTAGACACATGCAGCAAACTGAATCAACCTATTAAGAAGCGTGTTTCAAATTGCTGTGTACCCCTCAGAAATGTTCTCGTGGTTTGCAGCCCACTCAGAAGTGAGAGGCAGACCTCCAAAATAAGGTAAAGTAAGACATCAGTGCCCTCTGGAACAGAGGAGCAAGAGAGGAGGAGTGTGATGTGATGAGATCAGCTCTTGTGTGCAGTGCTGGCTGGCTGGAGCCCCTCAGTGCCGTGGTGGTTTTGGATTCAGCAGTTTTTTTAAGATCAATTCTCTACCAGAACTCAGCACACTCCATGAGCTGGGAGCCTCGTTTCTAATGCTAAAGCAGAAGATGAGGCTGCACAAATTCATTTTATCCAGTTACCCAGTAGGGTAACATCCAGTCTGATAGATGCTTTCCCTCGCCAAGACAGTTCCATTATTGGTGTTCGTTTGTGAATGCTGATGCACAACTGGATCTGAGCTGACCCAGAACTCTATCGATTTGCTCTGATTACAGTAAGTGCTAAACACGTCTTTTCATTGATGAAAATCTGAACGTGTTCTACAATCCTTTAATAAAACAGATTTCTGCTGCAGACAGAAATGACTCAAGTATGAGTCAACTTATTATTCTTCCAACACAGCAAGCTGTATTTAAATGGACAATGTTATTAAATCTGAAATGGCATCAGAAATTAAGCAAGGAAAACTAGGAAACCTGATGTTTTATTTTTCAGTTTTGTTTAAAGATCGATGGCTCACATTGCTTGAAAGAAAAATTTTGACCAGCAAAGGATGAAGAAGGGAGGTAAAATGGAGGAGGATAAGACCTAACAACCTCGAAACAATAGCTTTTTAGGAAACTAAACAATACGCTGGGGAATAGAAGTGGAAAAAAAATAATGAAAAACGATGAGGCAGTGGCACAGCTTGCCCAGAGAGGTGGTGGTGCCCCATCCCTGCAGTCACCCGAGATCAGGCTGGAGGGGCTCTGAGCACTGGTGGAGCTGTGGGTGTCCCTGTTCAGTGCAAGGGAGTTGGACCAGATGGCATCTAAAGATCCCTTCCAAGTCAAATGGTTTCTATGAATTTAGGACAGGGAAAAGAACAGAATATAAAAAATGAAAAACATGTTGGTGTAAAAATGGGAGACAAAAAGAAAGGAAACAACAAAGAATTTGGAGAGAAATAGGAACAAAGCATCATAGGTTAATGCAGCTTGGAATGAACCTCTGGGGGGCTGTAATCCAACCTTCTGCTCAGAGCAGTGTCTGCTGTGGACTCAGACCACAAACTGGACCACAGGCTGACATCCTCATAGGCACTGCTGCTACGAAGTACCCCAAAGACTTTTCTTCACCAGGCAGAGCCAGACCGGTTCTTCCAGCATCTCTTTATAGGGCAAGTGCTCCAGCCCCAAACATCTTGGTGACCTCTGCTAACCTTGCTCCAGTTTACCATTGTCTTTCCTGCACTGGAGGATCCAGAATTGGATGTAGCATTCTTGATAAGTGCTAACAAGTTCTTCTGCTTAGGTTGCTGCTGCTCAGATTGCTTCCTACCAACACCCCCGGGCCTGTTTCAGCAGAGTTGCTTCCCAGAACTTAACTTTATTATGCACTGGTCTGTCTTTCCCTGCATTCCCCTGAGTGGAAGCTGTTACTGCTAATATTTGAGAAATGGCTTTTTTTCCACTGCTATTTCCAAGATAACACCGTGGATAAGCCCAATTAGTCCTGCATTGTTATTCATTATTCTCTCTTCTGCCGTTTCAAATGATTCAATCATCCCAGAAGAGAAAGGAAATGGTCTCCACAGCACAGATTTATGCTGTGTCTGGGAGCCCAGGTCTCTCTAGTACTGTACTGGAAATGCTAAGTCCCAGCTTGAACCAGTGATTGAGCACCTGGTGAGAAGGCAGGGCCAACCCAAGAGAGCTCAGGTATATGCAGTGTTCCTGAGTGACTGGAAGGGATGGAGCCAGGATCCACCCCTTCCCAGATTTCATTTAAGGCTTGGCAGTGGAGGTGAGGGGGTCTGGCTGGAGCTTCCTGTGTATCTAAGGCCTTCCAAAGGTAAGTAGCTTTCTATCATATTATAGCATTGCAGGTACTCAGGAGATTTTGAGTCTTGAAGGCTGTTCGATTTAGTTCCTAGCCTTATATTACTGGCAACAGAAGAGAAACACAACTTTTCCCAGCACTGAGGGTGCCCTACTTAAATTAACCTTGCAGTTTCTCTGGAGGATATAATGCACAATGAGTTGGTCCTGGTTAGTCTGTTAGCACTAATAAATGGTGTATAGAGATCAATCCGGACTTTTGCTCAAGGTATAAGTAAGTCCTAGGGTTAGAATTGAAGGTTTCCAGGCTCTCAGCCTGGAATTAATTGCCTTGCATTGTCTCCTAGGTCAGTAAGTCTCCTAGGTTTCTGGGATGTATTCCACTTCCCAGAAGATCCAGCCCTTCATGTCATCCAAAGGATCTATATGTTCTTTCTTTTGTTTGACAGTCACATCTTTTGAAATACGTGGTCTTAGTAACATCCTTTTGAAATGGAGTCTCAAAGCTGACAAGCAGTGATTTATCACAGAACTGAAAGAGGACATACAGGTAATATTTGGTGCATCTCTCATTTTTGCTAATAGTTTTATTGGGTCTATAGAATAGTGAAGGCAATCAGTCAGTCTGACAGCACTGTACGTGCCTCTAAGCAAAGGGAAAACCAGAGAATATGCTCGAATTTGTGAAGGTACAATGTTTAAATAATACTGAACAGTCAGAGAGTGAAGAAGAACCACACTTACTGGTTAGCTGGAAAAAAGGCTCAAACCAGAACACTGGGCAGTGATTGGCACATCTGTGGTTCCTTTTGAGAAACATTTATTCACAGATATTCCTATGATGAGTTGAGAGGTCATGTGCCTAACAGCTATTTTTCAGATGAAGCATACAGGCCTTGATTTTTGTCTTCAATATGGGAGAATCAAGGCCCATGCATTTTGCTAGTGAGCCTTTCAAAAGGACTCTACAGTGCAGTATAGGTGGCTCTTAGCAATGCTAAAAAGATTGTACTCAGAGGGGAAAAAGCTCATCTTCCAAAGCACAGCTACCCCTGCATCACTATCAAATTTCCCATAAGATTTTCAAGTGCTTTATAGATATGAGTGGCCCAGACCTTCAAAATAAGACTGCCCACCTTTCCCAAAGAGATACAGGAAAAGTGCAAAGTTCTACAGAAACAAAAGTGATTTAAACTTTTTTTTTAGCATTACTCTCTGTAATGGTGTACCAGCCAGAGCTAACCCATGGGAGGAAGATCATTAGATTATTTTTTTTTGACACTTCCCCGAATAAGTGTTACCCTTGTTTCCATCCTTCTGGGAAAAGTTATGTAGATTCTGCTTTGAGATCCATCATGTCTTTGTCTGACGACAATTGCAATAATGTCAAGAGCCCCAGAGTACTTCAGAGCCCATCTGAATCTGCTGCGTGGTATTTTGAACACATTCAGATTGCTGTCAGACTTTGCACACCTTAATTTGAAGGTCCTTTCTTTAGGCCTTATTCATATTTATTCTGAAGTGGGTGCTTTTTTTAAATGCACTCTTGGCATTTTTATAATACAGGCCATGGAAGCTGCTCTCTCACTGTAGCTCCATGCTGAAGAAAAGGGTGGAAACGGGCAATTTCCATACAGCTACACTGTTGTAGAAAAGAAGCTGATGTGTAATTTTACTGCAGTTAGACTTCTGTGATCTGAAGTTAGCTATATGAGGAAAAAAAGCCCAGTCTGAAAATTAAATATGCTCTTTAATGGTAAAAAGGTGATTTGAATAATGTTGCATTTCTCTGAGAAGCGCACACGCTGCAGCATTCAAATATAAAGTGCTTGAATTTGAGGCCCCGAAAGGCTAAATATGGTGGAAATGTGAAATCACCCCATCAAGAGCAGAATGTAAAAAGAAAAAAACCAAAACCAACAAACCCAAAGAGTTCAACCATTGATTGAACTTTATAAAGCATGACATTTTCTCACAGTGCATACATTGATGCTTATGAATAGGTGCTTACCCAGCTAGCTAGGGAAAAACAATTCTTTCTGCTTTTCCACTTTCATTTGTTCTCGACTTCAGATGTGCTCTATACTTGAACGCTCAAACTAAAGAAAACAACAAAGCTGCTTTGAACAGCTTGACCAAATGAACCTGGGGAAGAGCAGTAAGGAGCACAGCCTCCTTCCCCTCCCCCATTCTTGTTGGATGAGAGTCCCCAGATGTGGGGCCTATGATGCAGCTCATCAGTGCTGTTTCCGTTTTGAGCCTCAGTGGGGTGAGGCTGAGAGGTGGTGGGCCTTGTAGGATGTTCCTGTCCCTTTTTGGTGGGGAAGCCCCACATCTCAGTGAATTCAAGTCCATTCTGCTGGATAGCCTGCTGCTATGGGTTGCTGCGTGTCTGTGCTGCTCCTGAGCACAGTGGGATCAAACATTGGTGATACCACATCCTTGCCAACGCATGGAGACGTTTCCATCTGTGGGCTTTGTCTTCCTCTGCTGTTCTCTTGCCAAAACCTCATGGCAGCTTGCCAGCTCTGCTCCTAATCCTTTCATCGTACAATTCATTATGAAATAGGCTGGCCCATAGCAGCTCCATCTTCAGCCCACAAATGGATGTAGAAGTTAAAACAGTGAAATTCTTCACAGGAATTGACTTCAGTTATATATTTTGGTTAAGCCCATTCTCTTCTGGGAAGCCACGTTTTGATGAAAACCAGAGGGCTTTTGCACCTCGTGACATTACCTGATTGCGGTGCAAGTTCTTCCCTGCAGAAAACTCCTGTAAGGAAAATGTGGTCTTTGGAAAAGTCAAAATCAGATTTTAATACGTTATTATTAATAATACATAATACGTATATGCACACACTACATATATTAATATAATATTAACAATATTAATATATATTGCTTTTTCATTGATATTGTTTTGAATATTTCTATATTATTTTGAGGCCTGTCATAAATATTATTTAATAGGCATACAGCCTGGCAGCATGACATGTATGTATTCCCTTACCTTTAAACATACATTTTAAGTACAGTTACTGCTGATTTCATTGATAGACAATGGATTTCATTGATAGACAATGAAATTAACACATCTTCCAGAGTGTTTTCTCATTTGACCAAGCAGACAAGAGCAGCACTCTTGTATCACCCAGGGAATAGTCAGCTACTCAATGATCAATCTGGAGTAACCATTGTAATGTATAGGAAAATTTATTTAACAAAAACGAATGGGTTTTTAGATTTTTTTTTTTCACTGAGTTAATGATTTCAAGGTTTCATCTGTTCCTCCTAATCCAGAAAGAAAACATTTCCAGTATTTCCAACAGACCCGAAGTTCTGGCAGAGTCTAATGGCCATTGGTTTTCTTTACACAGGTGGATTGTGTGTGCTTCTGACATCTGAAAATTTCCACAGTCACCTTCACAAATAGGATCTGAAGACTTCAGGTGAGCAAGATCACATTTACATACAGTGCAGACAAGCATTGAAGGAGCACAGCATCAGACACTTCATTTTCATGCTGAACAGACAAGCTGGGAAGCAAGGCCTCAATCACACACATAAGAAAGGGCAGGAAAGGCAGGGCCTGATTTGGAGATAACTTGTTAAATTGTTAACAAGATCACCTGGGGACATTGCTGGACGTGCATCTATGTGCATTAATACATGTCTACCCTGAGGAGTAACCTCAATGTAAAGGGTAGATAGGAAACATTGTCTTTTGCTTGGTTTATCCTAGTTCTAAGACTTAAATAAATGAAAAAACAAAAATATAGTTAACTTGACCACTATTGCAAGCCACATTAGTTTATACTTAGGAAAACTGTATTTTTTTTATTTAGCACCTGTAATTCCTTTGCATATTTAAGTGCACAATATGACATGTATGAGGTTTTCTGGAGATTTATCTGCCCAGATTTGGCTGAATGTAACTAAACAGTGCTGAGAATTTTGGAAATATTTGAAGCACCGTTTTCATGGAACTCACCATAGCTGCTGCTTGAGATTACAGTCTTAAACCTATTCAGCGTGGGAAAGAAAAGCAATAATCCCTCACAGTGGCTGGGGGCACGTAAATACAAATACTTCCCCCTTAATAGAAGTTTCCAATTCAATGGGATGCTGGCTGAAGTTTTTTTGGAATAGTTTTGCTTTCTTGTATAGATAATAACTGAGGATGCTAATCATCGTATCCCAAAGTGGTGAGGTGAAGGGAAAGGACAAAACACATTATAGATTTAAGTAGTTAATTTATTCAATTTGTATTTTTTTCAGTAGAAAGAGAACAGTCATCAGAAAATGTCAAGTTGTTGTACGTTTCTATGGAAGGTTTTGAGTACTCAAAGGATTGAGCAAAGATTTCTGTTTCAGAGTCAGTTTCTAAGCATGTTGGAAGGCTTTTTTCCTTTCCAAGAACAGCCAGCAGCCCAGTGCTTTGGGTATTACCCTGAGTGTTGGGAGGCGTGTTCTGACCCTGTTCCTACATGTTTTCCAAATTAATTGCAGAAGTCCAGCACTTAAACTCTTTCTGTGGTGAACAGATTGAGACATCTGACCTGGAGCTGTCAGAGCAGCGCTTTGAGCCTGACCTGAATTTGTCACCATGCTGAGCAAGCACCTACCCATGAGCTGGTACTCGCACCAAGTTTTCTCAAAGTAACATTCAAATCATCTTTGTTTTGATTAAAAATGGAGCCCAAAGCACTAATATGATGGCAGAAGCATTTCTTCTTGAGATAGCCAAGATTTGGTAAGATGCTGGTGTGAATACTTGGCCACCAAGCCAGCACAGAGAGCAGGGAGAGCTTTGAAATTATTCCACAGAGCAAGTAAAAACAATTTTTTTTCCTTCTTTTATGACAAACAAAGCCCATTAATAATGACAAATGAAATGTGAAAACTTCTGTGACTTGCCTAGGGCTGAAAACCGGGTCAGTAATTCAACTACTATAAGAATACAATGTTTATGGCTCCCAGCTGCCTCTTCGCCTCCCTAGATGGTGTTATTTGTTTCCATGGTATGCTGAAAATGCCCTGAAGTATAAAGAGGAACTTTTAAGTACTCCGTGTGATTACATAATGACAAAAAATGGGATTGTTTAGAATAATTTTGATCTGAGCCAGGGATTAAAATTATCTCCCAATTTTGCTGATAGAGTGCAGGAGTTCAGCAACGTAACTTCAGTAATGGCACTGCTGCAGCTTACAAAGGGAAAACGCCATCGTTTCTGCAAAGACAAGTTAAGACAGCTTAAAGCAAATTAAAAAGCAGTGACATCTCATTTAGAACTGCTTTACGCAAACCAAATTGTTATAAACACTAATATGTTTTTGCATACTTAGAAATCTAGTAATTTTAGTTGGGAATTTAGCTCAAGCAATGAAAGATTAATGAGGTATTAATGCCTAATAGCTGTATACTTCTTAGAACAGCCATTCGTATTCTTAAAAGCACTTACTGTTGCTGTTTATCATGTTATATTCAAGGTACAAAAGCCCAAATAGACCGGCACTTATTTCAAGAAGCTCACATCAAAGTTGGGCTCATATTTAAGACTCTTTTACAATCAGATCTTTTCTAGTTCTAGCAGAAGGAGACACGAGAGAATCCCAGCAAAAGCAAAGTGAGAAAGACCTGACTCTGACTTGTTTTTGCCCTTAAGCTGGTTGCTCCTGCTTTCCAAACTCAGTGATACTGAGTGCATCTATTTACCTCATGATAGCAAAACCAGTAAAAGGGAAATTCTGCCAAACAAGACTGCCTTTCTGAATAATAATAATTAGCAGCATTCTGAAAATGTTTGCAGCGAGGCAGGGTGTGTGGAGGCAGCACTGAACACAGAGTGCTGCACAGAATATTAATATGTGACCTGTGACAGAGATGCACTCAGGACCACTAAAAGTGTGAGAACAGGAAAATGAATGGTGAAGAAGATGACAATCATTTGAAAAATTAATTCTGGCTTTATTATTGCCTAAAGTAAAGCATCAGGAGTTCAATAAGTTCTGACTGCAGAGGAGGAGGCAGTCACTTAGGGATAAAGATGAAAATCTCAGCTTTATCATGTCTGCTGTAAAGCACTGTGGATGGAGCTGGTTGTGATATAAAGTGTTAAGCTGAAAGGCACCCCAGCTTTTCTGGATGCGATGGGGAGGAAGGGAGCTGTGGGTATTTCATCACCCACGGGTAGCCAGAAATTACATAGGATACTGCAGTGGATTCTCACATCTACAAAAAAGCATTGCGTCTTCCTTCCCCCTTCTGTACCTACGCTGTGCACCTCCAGCATCACCTTTCTCCCTGAGAGCACTGATGTCCTCTTCATTCCTTGATCTCCTTATAATGATATATTTTCATTCTCCTGATAAAAGCAGAAATCTTGTTAACACCCTACCAGCATAACTTGAGTCCATGCCTCTATACCTCAGGCCGGGAGATGCAGAGTCTCAGCAGAACACAGGGAGAAAACAAACATAGAAGAGCTTTTTTTTTGCTTTCTTTCTTTCTTTTTTAACACTGGGGTGGCTGTATGCTCTGCCACAGCTCTTTGCTGCCATTCCTGGGGCTGAAATTTGCACCTGGCTGCTCTAAGTCACCAATTCCTATTTAACTTTTTTTTTTTTCTCTTGGGTATTTATTTGACATCTGCATGGCTTAACTTTCTCAGGTGTTGCTAGAAATCAAATAACACCTGCCACACAAAATATATTAAACACATTCACTTTACCAGCATCGATATCTATTCTCCATGCTTGCCTGACATACTCATGTGTATTTGTGGCTGTGTGTGCAAACTGTGCTACACACCATAGGGGATCAAAATGATTTATTGCTTCTATAGACACCCTGGAAAGTGGAGCTAAGGACGGAAGGTGTTGATCCATTGTTGCAAAATAAATAATATTCCAGCACTTTGGAGCCTTTCTCACTTTCTAAGTGTGCACTTTCTTGTCTTAGCATAAATTTCTTCTGTGATTTAATAGCTTTGAGAGAAGGATCCGTGTAGCTTTTATTATTAAAGCATGCTGAAAATGCAGGTCAACACACCCAGAGCAGGAGTAGTTTGCTACTTAATGGAAGAGTGGTTCTGTTCTAAAAAGGGCACCAATGTTCTTTTTTAAAGACAAGTAGAAAGCAGGCAGCAAAGATGAATAACTATTAGAAATTCAGCATCATCTACAAGATGGTCACAACCTTCTGCCATGGTAGAGAAATAGAGGTAATTAACACCTTTAAATCCAGTGACAGCATCAGTTTCTTTTCTTTCTCACCACTGCTTGTCTCTGAAGAGGCAAAGTAAATGTAACTGTTAGTAAAAGCCATTCCAACCTGTGTAATTAGTGGTTTGTGTTTGTTTGTTTTAAAAAACAGAAAGCCTTTCCTAGCTCTTTGGTGGGCAAATAAACGAATACAAATCCTAGATGGACCATGGTTTGCCCTGCGTGGGTAGATGCTATAGGAAGAATGAGGGCTTTGGGGAAATTAAGTCTTTGTGCACTTTGCCACAAAGATCTATTAGTTTCTTATTGCAGAAAATACTCTCAGGAACTGTACCTCAATCTCACATCGTCTTATAAATAAGGACTGTTACTGTTCAGTAAGTTTCTCCCTCTGGTGGACGGAGTGCTATAAAACGATGAGCTTTGTCTAGCTGTAAAACGAAGTCTTGGAAAATCCCATTCCTTGGACTTAGTTTCTCTGAATGAGCCATGCAGCACAAGGTGTGATTGATCTCCATAGTGCAGAGGCTTTCCTAACCATCTCCAGGAATGAAGGTCTCACCTTCCCACTCAAACTGACGCACGCAAAAAAAGAAAAAAAGAGGATGTCTTTCTACTACTCAACAATGCAAGAGTTCCTCCCCCTTTCAAGTTTTCTTTAATGTTTGTCTGGAATAAAGTCACGTTTTACTTGGGTTTTGGGGAACAACTTCAATTCTACCACCTTGTGCCAATTCAAGCTGAACAGAGGGACAACGCGTGGACAAGATACACAACAAGACAGCTGCTTCTTCATGGCCATGTTCTTTTGCATGGAGCAAGACACCTGCTTTGAGTTGGTACGTGGGATGTATTTCAAAGTTGTCAATTGCTTGGCAGGATACATCGCTGCTATTTGGGCCATTTAACAGACAGCTCATCATCCAGTATTTCAAAATGGGGCTATTTTGCTGGAGGCATTTGTGAAATAGCACATTTGTGCAATCAAAAGGAAATGGGGCTCATTTCAAACATCCTCATAATTCTCAGTACTTCTCTCATCAGCATAGCATCAGAGTAACTTGCCATCTCTAAGGCCAGTAGGCAGGCACATAGTTTCCTAGTGAGGTATGCCGGAGGCATATGTGACATACGTTACAGCATCTCAATGCCTTTTGCTGGCAACATTTATCTACATGTGCCCAGAGTTTCACAGAGTGAAGGTTCTGATACACATGCACAGATCCAACATGTGCAGTGGAACAGTTTTGCTCCAGTGCTGTTTTGCTGGTGATAACTCACTCCCACTAAGCAAGTAGCAGTGGGTTTAGAACTGATGTTCTGGATGCTGGAGCATTTTTTCAACATATTCCTAAGAGATGTGCTCAGTGTACATCGCCATAAGCGCCACGACCTCGAAAGTAATTGCTTGGTCAACAATATAAAATGGCTTTTCATATAAAATCTTCCCCTGAAAATATCATGGCTACCAGATGTCATTACAAACATCACTTAACGAGGTGCAGTTTTGATGTTATAGAGGAAAGGACAAAGAAGGAAAATAAGCACTCCAGTCTGGAAGAAAAGTAATCCTTTAGAAGTGGTGTCAGAAAAGAGAGGAAATGAGGATGTGAGTTGCACTTTGTCCCTCTTTGAATTCTCTGTCTAGGTGAGTCTGAGTAATCAACTCTCACAACATTCATATACTCTCTGGGAGTGAATTTCAGCCTTGTGAGTTCGTGCTGTGAGAAAAATGCCATAAACAAGCTCCCAGAAAAACAGATTTTTTCCACAGAGGGGCCAGACCATGGGGAAATGTCATAAAATGAGACGAAGATGTGGCCTGAACTCTAACAGGCAGATAATTCTCCCAAATTGTCTCTCTGTGCCATCAAACAATAACTTCAGATGCTGTTCAAATATGACAGTATTGATCAGGCCAGTGCTAATCCCCCCAAATCTGTTCTTCAATTGAATATTGCTTGACAGCTTAGTGGCACCAAGTCATTTCTCGGCTCCACAAATGACTGTTTCATTGTGGCAAAGTAAAAGATATTGAATTATTGGGTTAGTTTATGGGAAGCCAGCAAGGCTGTGGCAATCATGGAGTACCTGGAAGCTGTACTGTCACCTGTGCCTTCCCCTCCACCACTGTGCTTCTTCCCCAGTGCCAGACCAATAGTCCAGTCTCTGCCACAGCAGTTCTGGGGGATGTCTATAAGTATTACCAGTGAACAATGCTGGTGATACAAGTGGGAATTATTCACTGTGACCTGGACCAGAATCACAGTTGGGACAGATGGTTGACCTCACACAGCTCTCTGAAAGAGATGTGTAATGGAAGGGGCAAATTCTTGGCTCCAAGGTTCCCCCACGTCCTCTTCTACCAGCATCCATGCAAAAAGAACACAGGTCTTTGCACACTGCC